GTTCTCGCTAACGAAACACGCTAACACAACTAGCGCGAGACTATGTTACAATCAAGCTAACATGATTTATCAAGTATTTTTAAAATAAACTCACAAGGTAGCTATTATAAATGCCAATTCATTTATCATATAATTATTTAAAAAGTACGTTGGTTACCAGAGGAGCCTTCAGCCATTCACTTAGAACTCCACTTTTCCAAAGTTCACCAACGGCAGGTTGTTTTTTGGAGCGATGACAAGTTCAACCAGGCGATCGGAGACAGTGTCCACCTCCTCACCTGCGCCTTGATGGTTCAAACTAGGAATAATCCACGTTAAAACAATATTATTCCCACCTGCGTTGGCTAAACTCTCCGGCTGAAAGGCTAGCACCGATTCCCGACCGGAACTTCCGCTTAGGATTTTCAAAATAAAATTACTAGCAAAATGAAAGGACGTAAAATATTAAACTGCTTAAATCAAGCGTAAATCAAACAACCTGCACACAAAATGATTTACTTTTACAAGCAATATTTATACATAAACAAAACCTGAAAAACCATTTATAGTTGCTCAAAGACGTAGTTTGATAACAGGAAAGTCATTTGTAAGGACCAGTTCAAGTTTGAAATAAAGATTGCCTAATGTAAAATAATTAGTTCCTTTATTTTCTTCAGCAGCCTTCACAGTTATAATGTTAAAATGCACATAGTAAATATTTACATAAAAAAAGGCTTTTATGCACTTGCATAACAAAAAAGTTTAGTCAGTGTTGTATTTGATGAAACCTAATTCCAAGTCCCCCTTGGAAATTTTTGCCAGGGACTCTAAGAGACCCGTGCAGTCACTGTATTAGCTTCCATTTGATTTGTGTTTCCATTAAAAACCACATAGTAATAAAATGTACGTATGTACACTAAAGATTTTTTGAGATTTTTAGATTTAAAATGACTGATGTTAGCTGCATATTCTGTGAACCTAAAAGAGCCGTTATGGCATCATCAAACCTTTTTTTTGCTGATTGTTTTTGATCAATTATATTTGAACATGCTTTACAATCCAGTGATGCTCACCATTCACCTTTCATTTAAGACCAAGTTATATTTTTTCTCAGTGGTTTTCTCCAGTAAAAATGTGAAAAAGAAAGAAAGAAATGTCAAAGAGGTGTCAAAGGTCATGCTTATTGAATACTGAGCCTAAAGTAACACAATTAACATAGTAAAATTGTTGAATATGTTGCTCAAATTAAATGGTCATAGAAAAAAAAGATTTTTTTTCCCATTACGTATTTTTTTTATTTTTTGCTGGATTTTTTTTTCCTGTGAATAAAATCCTTAATTTAAGGGAGGAAAAAGAATAAGTCTGCCCACAGGATGGCGCTTCATGTTTGAGTTTGTCCATCAGCGTAACAGTGCTTTATGGCAAGCCAATTTGCCATATATTGGTTTCTCAAAGAAAGCATCCTCAATTGACATTTTATTACTATTCTTTTAATTTACCCCAAATATTCAGATATGACAGATGTCCCTTCTGGACATAAAAATTAGAAAAACAATAAACATGTTTAACATAAATTCTTGTTAGTTGAAATTTTAGATATACAGAATGAGACTTTTTATTTGAAGGTGTGTGGAAAAATCAGCAGGGTAAATGTCATTATTATTTCTGATATCAGACACTAGCAATTAATCAAAAGGTTATATGTACAATACAATGATTGATTACGCGTTAAAATTGATTGTCACACTCCATGATCATTGAGACTTTTGAGGTATACAGAAAACCACAATATATTATTTTATTTTGGTCTATAAATCACATTTACTTTTGGATGCAATCTTGTAGTTTGAAAGAAAAGTGAAAGTGGGTGATGGTGAGATATATCTTTCATAGCAACTGTTTTAATGAGTTAATAAAAATCTAGAATAAACCTAAATGAACAAATGGATTCGGCTTTACATGAGAGCCGGGAAAGAATATATAAACTTTTAATTTAGAGACCCCAAAATATAATTAAAGACTTTGATATTCATTATGAAAACCACATATTTGACCTAAATAAGTGGGTTATTTAGCTAAATACCACACGAAGACAAAGCTGGTGCTTAATTTATTTTGATAAGACACCGTTTTACAAATTATAGGCAAAAACACTAACATATGTTGTGGTAAAGCAGATTTTAGTCATTAACGCAGGAGAAAATGACGCTCCACGCTCCTACAGGCAGCTACAGCTAGCTGCCATTAATTAGATGGGTTTCTGATCATCGGATAAATCCCTTAAGTGCCATCGATCCCTAACAGACCGCTAAAAGTAACAGTGTCAGAAGTTACGTGTTTATTTTTCGCACATCGTTTCTATAACAGCCCTACAGCTACGCATCACTCAGCCCTCAGAAGATCCATGGCGCATGCGCAGACCCCGTGAACGATGCGAGGTGGGTGGGTAAGAAATGAGTAAAGCGATACCAAATACCGGAAACTAAATGATTTGCTTTTCAAAACGAAGTAATTCATGTGAAAACTTGGTGACAGTTGTGTTCCTGATATATTATATATTCACGTATTTATACATAACTGAGCATTTGATTTTTAAACGTGACTAGTGATAATGTGTTTTCCTGTACAATGGAGTCAGATATTTTTGCCAATTCAATTCAATTCAAGTTTATTTATATGGCTTCAACCATTCGTAAATGTAAATGTTTTCTATAAAGCTATAGTGTCTGAATTGAATGAGCAGTAGTTCAATTTTTACGTATTGAACATATTTTGAAAATCTAAACCGGAAGTAGTGCTTCCTCGTACTGCTAGCTTAACTCTTAGCCCCTGCACAGCTCCGAACGCGGCCGAGCAGAAGAGATCGTCAGTGAATGTGTCTGTGGCACCATTTAGCTAAAACACAAACTACGGCTAAAGAAGAGAGGACCAAACCACGGAGCAGTTCCAGACGACCACGGCACACCCTGGACTATGATAAAACCCACCCTCGGGCCGGTAACGGTGCGCTGTTTCTCAACGTCGAGCGGGTTGTTGCACATCTGTAGATCATAATGAAGGCATCCGCTATTCTTCACGGCGGTTTTTCCTCCGAGGTTTAGTTAGACGCGGGGTGACACTAAATATAAATGTGTCGGTTTTAGACCTCCTCTCAAGGAAGCCGCTCGCCGAGGGTGAACGCACCCTTAGTTTAGACATTTAACACAAAGTCATCCACGGAGAACAGTGAAGTCATTTGAGAAGCCTCGGCAGAAGGAGACACGTCTTAATCATCCCTGATAGTTTTACACAATTCAGCTCTGCGAGGAAAAATCGGTGCTTTCCTTCGAGCCGCGACCGTCAGATCCCCCCTGCAGCTTTCTGGCTTGTTTTGTGACTCTTGCATGGTTTTGTCTTTCTGAGCCTACATCGCCGAGCCTTCCTGTGGGCATTTCCCCCCTTTCCCAGTAAAGGATGCCGGATCAAATATCGGTGTCCGAGTTTCTCTCGGAGACGACAGAGGATTACAATTCCCCGACAACATCCAGCTTCACCACCCGCATGCAGAGCTGCAGGAATACAGTGAACGTGCTGGAGGAGGTAAGGCCATTGAAAGGTTATTTAACAGCAAAAACTCACATTCCCCTTTATGAACAGCATTGCTTTTTTAGTAATATCCAATGAAACACACCAGGTTGCAATGACAGTCTGTTAAAACGACCTGATGGTCATTTTATCATCCACTCAAGGATCTAAATTGAGTTTTTTGTTGCACAAAAACTGCACCTGTTGCTGCAACTGTGCATTTTCTTATGATGCAAAATTATTCACATTCATTGAGACTGATTGAGAGGCCCTCATCCGAAGAAATCTTTTTAGATATGGAGTAATAATGGAGGAGGAGGATAGCTTTGTTGGAAGAGTGCAGGGAATAGAAGGATGTGCACTTAGGCCTGCAGCTCTCTGTGTTCACTATTACATAACTTTCAAGTATTCTGGCAGGGTTGCAGCTGTGTTTGTGTGACAGAAAGACCTATTTTAGTCACTGGCTGCTGTCAGATGTGGCTTCAACTGCTTCAGAGTCATTTGTCAGGTGAAACAGATTAAAGAAACGTTTAAAAATCACACAGGATGAGATGTAATCGGGTCAGAGAGGTGGGTTTGTGTTTGTGTGAGTGTGTCCCGGCTCCTGCTGATGATGGCATCCCTCCTGCCATGATTAAATGGAGCATCAAACCAGGAGGGAGCACACCTTCGTTCACTGCTGAATCCAAAATGTGAACTTATTTCACACTTTGAATCAGGCATGAATTACATCAGGATCACAGCTTTTAGTGTAATCTGTTCTGTAAAGCAGGAGCGTTAAACGTGACATCCATTTATGCTGCTACAATCTAAATATCTGCATTTAAAAGGGACGTTTGAGCTAGTTTTAATAGGGATGCATCTATTCTTGACTTGACTGATTCTTGTACGATTCTTCTTATTATTTTTAGTTTGGATTAATTAGAAACATTTCTCTGAAAGTAAAACTGCCCCCTGGAAGCGATGGTATTGCTAATGTAAATTGGCACTAAGTGATGAAATGTTCAGGAATGGGTGAAAATTTCACTTTTTTTAAAGCTTCCCAGCATTCGTGCATTCACAGCCTCCTGACTCTTCATGACTGATAAGCTAATGGTTAGGCCGAGATTCTTAAAAGTAGTGTAAAAGATTTTTCTCTGAAGCTTTTTTTGCCGTATTGCCTAAAATGCTTTTCACATACCAATGAATTAAATGTTGTATTAAAAAATGTTATGTAAGAAAAAAGTAAATAAAATTTAAATAATAATTTTATTCACCTCTGAAGTTTAGTCAATCCTGGAAAAACCTAATCCAACCATTGTGAACGTCCCATTCTAAGTGATTGGATCTTGATTCATTCATCAAACTACCGTATGACTCAAAGGGCATGCCCCTCTGTGTGCAAAAATTGTACGTTTTTGGCTTGAAGCATCTGAACAGGAAGCAAATCCAGAGGCGGGCTAGCAATATTTGCTAGCATGCTAAGTTGTTATACAGTTACATAAGCTGTTTTTACAGGACCATAGCGTTTGCAAAACGGGATTTGCCGCGGCTCCCTGGGGAGGATAAAGGTTGTTCATAAGATCAGACCGTGGCGGTAATGTGGTGCAATCGTGGCAATTTTAGAAAAGATTAGGTGATGGTGGCATAAAGGGGGTATGGGGGCGGTCTCTGCGCTGCCGCAGGCTTCCATTTCCCCCTGAGCCTGAGATCAGTGGTCTCCTCTAAAAAGCAGCTGAAAACTCCCTTGTTCAAAGTGGCTTTTGTACGACCTTCTTCACCACTCTCTCTTTATTCTGCTCTCCCCACCTATTCCACCTTCCTCAGGATCCACTGATTTCCCTCTTTCCTGTTCACTCTCTCTCTTTCTTAACATTTTTTTTAATCACAATTGTCTGTTTTTTGCTCATTTTAAATATATTTTTAACAATTTTCTAAATTCTTTTTTATATTTTTACATTTTTAGTTTTTGTGAAGCGCCTCGTGATTTTTATCTTGAGAGGCGCTAAAGAAATTATATTTTCTTCTTCTTCATCTTATCTTGGACATAACTTGCTTTTTATTGTGATTGAAGCCGTGATCGTTAAGTTTTTTTAACAAGCAGCTCCTAAAGGTGTCTGTCCCCATCAGTCCCTGTGCAGTCTCTGGTGATCTGAGCTTCAGCTCTAACAGAGAGGGTCATGGAGCGCTGCGGCGCTCCAGTTTGCCATCTCAGCTGATTTTGTTCAAAAAGCAAACCTTATTGCCTGTGTTTACTTTCATTTTCAATAAATTTGCCAGCCGGAGCTCAGCAATAACTCCCCATGTCATCATGACATCTGCCTCTGTTGCGCCAGGGCGCATACGACAGACCATTACCGCAATATTACTACCAAGCGAGGCGGAACGAATGCCGCAAAATTCGCGCAGCGCCATGCCGGCATGGCGCTTTTATAGACATGCCATTGCGGTAATATTACGCCCATTTACCGGCATGGTGTGTCTTATAAAAGAGGCTTTAGCCTGTGTGGAAATAGCAAAGTGGGTTTTCAGTGTAATAAGCCCAGTCCTCTCTACTGGATCTAGTCCCAGTGGGTTTTCTCTCTTAAATCTTCAGTGGGAAGGAACAGAGTCCGAAGAACTCTTGACCGGCACCGGACTCAGAGGAGTCCGCCAAAATCCTTGAGGTTCCGTGGCTGTGATGTAAGTGCGTTAAAATAGGAAGTATGGCAGAAGAGGTGAGATAACCTCGTTTTGTTTTTTTGACAATTCTGGCATTCTCCGTGTTCTGGGGGCGTGGCTTAGGGAGGAGCTTGAAGAAAGGGGATTGAACCTTTTGAATGTTTTTTTTTCAACATGTCTGTTTTCTGAATGGCTTTCTCCAAGATCATCTTACCTTTAAACAATCCAAATGTCATTTTATTAACTTTAAAATCATGTTAGTGTGATATTACGTTGGTATTTCACCTGAAATATAAAAAAATTTCTGCGAGAATCGACTACTGTATCACAGGATGTTACTGCTGGAGATTTTTGCGCTCATAAATAGCAAGTATAACCAGAATAACCAGCTAATTCAAAATTGATGGTAGTTTAAAGGTTTATAAAAATACATCACTACATATATTTGTCAAAATAACAGCCTAGCTGTTAGCTCATCAGTCCTGTTGAATGCAAACTTTGTTTCTCTAAACACAGTCTGTTCACAAGCTAACTCACACAGAGACATCTTTAAACATGTCAGAAACACCCTTTTTAAATGACACATTAACGTTAAAATAACGAACGTAAACACAATGGATGGGTTGCTAAACCCAGTCCTTTCTTCAGTGCATATTAAACTTATAATTTCAGTTTTTTACGAGTATATTAGCTCACACTTTTTTGAAAATGGACCAAAACAGAGCCGGGGCTGTGTGTAATCGCAACATGGAGCCCAGTTTGTGTCTGCTGACTGTAACAAGGAGGAGGCTCGCATCATGAATCACCTCTCTGGCTCCGCGCCTCTGATCCTCTGCAGCACAAACGAAAAACATCTGTCGGACAGAGCTGCCATGTGCGCTGGGCTTCGGTAGCCACTCTGGAATGTTTTTTTTTCAGAGATCACATGACGAGGAAGACTATTATTCTGGTGCTAATTTTCTTTAAAGGGTGAGCATCATCTTCCTTGATGTCAACACAAAGGCGATATGCTCATGCAGGGTTGCTCACACTGGGATACACTCATGGTGAAGCCGTAGTCCTGACACAGAAAAACTCATTTGCATCATCCACAATAAAAAAAAACAACAACAGAGCACTGCAGAGATGGAAACGTCCTCTGGCATCGCTTTGCCTGAAGCAGAGTTGGTTTAAAACATCTTAGACATTTCTGCTGAGCTCTTAGTTCTCATCCTTAAACGCCATGCAACCACATCCATTTTCTCCAAGTCACTTTCTTGGCATGTTGACGAGGTAAATTATGCAAAGGTACAACGTGAATATTTCATACTGTAACCTGAGGGGAGCGTTGGCCCAGCGGGATAGTTGTCATTCTCTGTGTGCTAACTCTGAGTCATAAGGAGGGGGAAAACTTGTTGTTGTAGCATCGTATCATTTTTAATTCAGCCCCAAATGTTAATTATTGATCACTACGTGTTCATATATTAAATAATTCAGAGTTGATCCGCTTTTAACTTGGAAATAATGGGATGTTTTTATGTCAGAAAATTAAACTAGAGAGATGGTTATAAAAACAACTGCTTTGCCTCTTTGAGATGAAGGGGGTGGGGTGTCGTGCATGTGCGTGTGTGTGTGTGTGTGTGTGTGTGTGTGTGTGTGTGCGACTGTGCGTGCGTGTGGGTGGGTGGGTGGCAGGCTGGAAGGTGGCTGATGTGTCTGGCTTTTATTTTTGCTGTCTTTTTTTTGTGCAAAACAAATTGGTGTGGTGGTGTTTTCGCTCTGCATTTCCCAGAGAGCACCTGGCAGTAAAACTGCACGAGGAGATCGGATTCTTCCGGCCGCGGACTCTGAGGTGATCCGTTCATTGTTTTTTACTGAAGATAAAAGAGACGAGTGTTTAATTAGCTGGCTACTGTCCCTTCTCATCGTTTCAGCAACAAAGACGAAGATTTAAGTAGAAAAAGTTAAAAGACCCAATTTCTTTAATTGATGCACTGATTTTGGATTTGAGGGGCCGACAGATTAATCTTAAACATTACAAGTAGACACTGGAGCAACAAAAGTATTTGACAGCCACTTGTCCCGCTTAAAAGAAGGGCGGCACGGTATTAGGAAAACCTGCGATATTCGATAACAGTGCTTAATATTGCAATATCGATATTACTCGCGATAAATGAACAAATACTAAAGTATGCAGTGTTGATGTACGGCGTGTGACGTCTGCTCTGGGTTCAAAGCAAACAAAAACTAATGCATGAATTCCATTACAGCATAACATTTTTATTGCAAAAATATGCAGCTGCACCTGCTACTGTATTAGCAGCAAAACAACAAACTGCATGCATGCAGTTTCTCAGTGACTTTAAAACATCACCTCCACCATAAAACTTTTTGTG